GGTGACCATTAAGGCCCTAGGGCCTCTTTATTCTAATTTACAGGATCCGGGTTTTTTAGATAAACATTTTTAGCACATTTGTCAATGTAAAACTCATACCAACAAACGATATATTTATAAACGATATAAATAGATAATAATTATATGAAAGGTCAATGTAAACAAACAATCACAACACGAATATTATCCATAATCATTATTTTCCCAATCACGCCCTGTATGCCAGACAAGAACAAGACCATGTAGTACAATTCGTGGGCACCTCTGTGGTCTTGTTCAGATCAAAACAACACAAAACAGACATTTTATAGACGAATGGTCAAGCGAACTTTTCTCGGTCACTTATTTTATTAACTTGAATCACCGGAGCGTATCCTCTTTGGTATATATTAAAATCTACCCTCAGTCCGAAGAACATAATAGAACTTGAAGTGTGGACTTGAGGAATAGTCTTCAGTGAATATTGTAAGTGACTGCTGGTATACATTGTATATAAAGGATTTTCAGAAAAATTTATTCACAGATTAAGAAATTACATTTAAATTTTATGAAATTAAGAAAAAAAATATCAGATTATATTTTATGTTATTTGGATTTTGCCATAAAAGATAAACAAAGATAAAACTAAAGAAAAAAGGATTTTTATTTTAGAAAATTGATATAATAAAAGCTCAGAAATCAAAATAGCCAATATTTGGAAGAATTAATATTTTTTCATTTAGGGTAAAATTAGATTTAAAATTAAAAAAAAAAATAGGCAACAATTATAATATTTGTACTAAAAGACATGCAATTTAGGCGAATTATTAACGTGTTCATATAATTTGTGATTTGCCTGAGAGATCAGGAGCACTGCATTCTTTTTTAACATACCATTAAAAATATTACCTTATTTACTTTTTAATTTTTTTTATAAATCCGAAAAAAAATTAATCTACGAAAAGCAATCAGTGATGGTCTTAACAGATTTAAAGGTGAAATGTTTTTTTTAATGAAAAGTAACAATAAAAAAACGTAAATTAAATTTACGAAAAGCAATCAGTGATAGTCTTGACAGATTTCAAGGTAAATGATTTTTTTTAATTATTTTTTTAATGAAAAAGTAACAATAAAATTGTAACGGTACTTTTTTGACATGCATTGATAAATTGCTTTTCCAGGCACTTTTGAGTGTGAAGCAATGAAGAACATCCTCCTAGTTTTCCTGTTGGTCTGTTTGTGTGTGGTTTATGTAGTGGAGGCAAACGCACAACAAGCTCTTGGTAAGTAGAAGTAAAGTAAAATATATATCTAAGGACCAACAATTTTGATTCGTTATAAACGTACCGGTAATGCATTATATCCGTTCAGTTCACAACAAATTTGAAAACTGCGGGGAATGTACTAGATCACTCCGCTAGAGCGTAAATTCATCATAAGCGTGTTTGCAATAACCGTGTTTTACTGTAAAGCAAATAATTGGTGTTTCATAGACAAATAGAACTTTTCATAGGTGAGTTTGCGTTTTTCTAAATATACCAAATGAAAAGAGTGTTTCATATGTGAGTAGACGTTATCCATATGAAAAATGTGTTTCATATGGTGAGTAGAAATACAAGTATCAGCTGTATACAGTGTGTTTCATAGGAGAGTAGACCTATAACCTACATATATATGTATGTAGAGCCAGGATGTATGATAGATGATGAAATGTTTTTTTTTTCCTTCTGCATAGAGTATAAATATGTTACAGTGATGAGGAAAGGTATCCTAACCTTATGAATGTAGTGGTGATTTTTGACCTTGTTGTCTCTAAGAGGTTAAATAAAAATTCATTTATTTTTATTCAAAGTAGATATATTGCAAATTAAAATTAAACAGAATTGAGCTTTAGTGAAAATTAATGGTAAACAGGGTTTTAAGGTGGAGATATTTCATTATGAATTCTTGGAAAGAATATGATATGTTTTTTTTTTAAATACTACTTCCATCATGGTAAAGAGATATGTGCAAATGACAAATAAACATGTTATGAGTCCACTAAAGTTTCACCTGAAGGAAATCTTTATTTTTTATTAATGTCCATGAGGACACAATCTTACGATTTCTGGTAAACAAACAATTAAGCTGTCAGGAAAATTGGCGCGAAAACATCACGATGCCATTCAATAGTTGCTATATGGCATGCCTGGGTAATTTTACGATGTGTTTTTCCTTGAACTAGATATGGGTAACAAGAAAAAAAAATCGATAAAAGCTTCCTCTTTATTTGAAGTGTGACAAAGTTTCAAACCCTTGTTTTGAACAGTGTGACATGTTTGACATTTTTATAAATTTAATTTCAAAAGGAATTTTGTTCCATTTAGCGCTTTTTCTGATTGGTTTATTTATTGATTCTATTTATTTATTCATTTATTGTTTGATTGATTGATTGATTGATTGATTGATTTGCTTATTATTTATTTATTTATTTTCTTATTTATTTCTTTATTTATCATGTATTGATTATCTTATTTATTTATGTATTTATTTATTCAATTTATTGATTTATTTATTTATTTATTGATTATCTTATTTATTTATTTATTTATCATGTATTGATTATCTTATTTATTTTAGCTCTGATGTATTTGATGAGAAATCGGATGTTTACTGGGATGCGAGGCGGGTTTCTAGGAAGACTTCTCCCCTTATATTTCATAGCCGAGTCGGGTTTTGAGATATGACCTTTGTCCACGGCGGAACAAAATCAATACATTTTATAATATCACAAGAAGAATATTTGAGAAAACATTAATTTCATATACGTGACACAATTCATTTCAAATGTTGTGTTGTTCATCTTGTTAATATTCACGTCTCATTTCGTTTTTGTATATTTCAGTTTTTAAACATTTCATATTATCCATGTTTTGTCGATAACATAAAATATAAATAAAAGTATGTTATATATGTATTTCAGTGTTTGAAATTTCATTAGAAAGAAAATAAACATTTTTTTAGACTTTCGATGAAATGATAGATAGTGTTGCCTAGAATGAAGTTTTGAAAACTCGACAACTGAATTTAAGAAATTCCTCCCTTAAGAACAGATACGTAGCGTGCATTTTCAAGTTCACCAGAGTACCTCACGTTCACAGGATCATTCCTAGTTTGGTAGAGATTAACGTGAATATTGGAAGCCAGACATTACACCTTCAATCGATATCCCTGTCATTAATTTGTTACATACAAATACGGCATATTGTAAAATGCAAGGTGAATGGCTTGTTCCTCTGCTATTTAAACGTGGTGTTGAATTAAATTGTTATGAAAAAAATTAAACAAGTAGAAATTTCTATAAAACTTTTTTTTTTCAAAATGGTACTTCTCTTAAGTTTCTGCTCGATTTCAATAGAACTTTGTTCAAACAGGTAGACTATACCAAGAATTGAAGAAATATGAATCCATGTCTAACTATAATGTCAACAACTTCAACAGGTTCAGTCCGATTTTAGTTAACTTGGAACCAGAGAAGACTAGACCAAAATATATTGTATGACTTTGCAAAAAGTGTATTTTCCTTTTCAATGTCAACGAAAAATTAAAACAAACATGTCCATGTAAATGCTTAAAATAACAATAAAATGTGAATATCTTTCAAAATCTTTCTCCTCATTCAATTCTGCTATGATTTCAATAACATGTTCTGTACAGTTAGATTTTTGAAACACGATTTCAGTTCATACTGTACATACTGTAAAGACTTCGATAACGCTGAGAGTGTGCGGCAATAGACGTAGCCTAACTTTAAATTTATTCATATATTCCAAAAATTATAACATGTACATATATTTAAATGAATTTATTGAGCAATAATCAAAATAGATAGAAGTATTTAGTATATCAAAATCTATTGATGACTTCCCCACTAACAAAATTATAGCACAAATGACCTCACTTTTAGATGAATCCTCGTACTTTTACACAATAACCAGCATATAGGTACTGAAATACCTCTAACTGTTGTGTGTGTGTGTGAATGTAGTGCATTTATTTGGTAATTTATTTTTACGTAAAAATATCACATAACAAATATGATAGTTCCATGTCGTTATCTCGACCAGTGATTTTCAATAGCTCTAGACTTATGATATGCATAACAGGTTACTTTCATTAAGTAGACACCCAAAACGTTCCAAACGAAATAATTTGTATGACAGGTACTGTAATGTGTAACTCTTCTTTTCTCGGACTATTAACACCAATGTAAAACATTAAACACGAAAGATATTTTTTGTTCAGGGCTGTTGTCAATATAGCAGGTAATTTTAATTTTTATCGTTTTGTATATTAATTTCGATTCCAGTCCAAAGTAGATTTATCTTGTCTATATACATTTAAAGGAAACAAATTATAGAATGTAATTTTTTAAATTGGATTATATTTCTTAAATTACTTTTTACGTTGAGCTGTAATATAGGTATAGCTTGATATGTGTGATCAAAACATTTAATGAGATGAAGCATAGCTGTTGAAATCTTCATTGACATCCATGCTTCAGATACATGCACAAGACTGTGTTACTGAGCTAGTGTTTCAAGCCTGTGGAGCCTATGAATCAATAAGAATATCATTATGACATTTCTGATTCAACATTTTTGAAATCATTGATTTATCTTATTAGTATCTATACTCGATAAATTAAAACAAATTTGGGTTATATGACCATATTACCATGTGAGAACATTCCTTATACACCTGTGTAAGTTTAATTTTCCTTTTGTTAAATAAATTGAACTGATTTTCTTTCTTTTTAAAGATTAACTTTATAAATTCTCTCATAAAGTTTCGAGCAATGAACAGAGCGATTTAAATCTTCCTTTCCCACCTATACAACAGGGAACGTCCGAATTACCTTTCAGAAATCTATAATTTAAATCTCCAGAGAATAATTGACAGACATGTAAATCCTACTCTAACGTACATAAGCCTCTCGTAACAGGAAAGCAGAAAGAGAGAGAGGCACCAGAAGATTTTTAAAAACCCAAAACTCCCGGGCGACTGCACACTGCGTTTAAAAATGTAAATACACTCAAATAAACTCCTCTCTTTTGGATTTGTGAAGTTTATATATTACATTATTCCTTTTAATTATAAATCTCTTCTCTTGGAACACGTGCTGAGCTACACCTAGCTACAGCTTTACTGTATCAAGGATTGTGTGCAAACATGGCGGCCTCTTTTTATAGGTAAGGAAAAACAAAATAAAAATATTTTTGTTAACTTAAGATTGATAGAATTAATATATGTTCGTCCTTTGTCTTACATACATTTTATGTATTTATCAATATTTTACCCTTATTTTTTAATGGCTATTTTGCACACATAATACGCACGGTTTTTTTTAAATATTAATTTCAAAAGTACATTTTTTAAAACCAATATTTTGTTAAATTCTCTTTCAAATTACCCTTTTAAATTAACTTGATACGTAAATAATTTCATCACAAAAACCTTTCTTGGAGTCTACACTCCTAATAACTGAGAGAAAAAAAAGATCCCCACGCACCATAAACACCATGCAACAACTTTTTTGTTTTTGAATGGGGGGGGGGGGGTATGCATGCTTGCATGTGTCCTATACTGATAATTCTGTTATTCCTTTGGTTCTGTTTATTTATTGTCTATATTACACAATTATGCACATTCTACTTGACACACTGTACATCAGTGTTGTCGATTTAGAACAGTGATTTTTCGACTGTTTCGAGGAACTTGTAGTGGTACATTATTCAGTACCTGTTTGTTTTGATTTTCTATCTATCATAGCTGTAGGATTAGATGGAATTTTATCTGTGTTGACATTTAAAATGTATATGTGTTTTTTTTCTTACCCAACATTGCCCAAAATATTAAAGGTTATTAAACGAGTTAGAAGAATTATAATATGGAAGTAATATTATACTTATGCAATGGGAGTGATAAATATATTGATCAGCTATCTAATTTAATTAAAGATTGATAAATTAAACATGTTTCCTGCGAGAATTTACTTCCATTCTGGGTTTTCAACTACTTTTTAGCAGTATACCATTATCCGACATTTATATGGCTTTATAACAATGGTTAACAAATCACATAAATTGTTAACTAAAGAGATTTATTTGATTTTTTTTTTATTTTAATGGGATGTTTTATTGTAGCGGACTGTTATACCTCCTCTGTTTATAGTTTTAAAGCAAAAGCCAACAGTTTTATTATCTGACTATGTTTGGGTACATTGGTGTTTGGTTTGCCTTTTACAAAATGTACATAATTCTTTAAAAGAAATCCCTATATTTCCCTTTACATGGAAATGAATAGCATTTAAATCGATTGAACTGTTGAACTAATTTTTAAAAAAACATATTCTTTTCAATCCAGCTTATATAATAAGATATGCCCATATTATTACAATTTTATTTCGACAATATTAGTGACGACCATCATTTTTTGCTTCTTAGATCTACATGTATATGGTTTCATTAGAAAAAAAAAAATTCTTCACTTTTCTTGCCTGCATTTGGAATTCAAGCCTTTCTGAGTTATGTCTATAGTTTATTCTCAGAGCTTGGTATGATATTATAGGGAAGATGGACTTTGCTAGTGTCTTTTTTTTTTTTTTTTTTTTGTTTAAAAAAAATCATCTATCAATTTTGTCAATCTATGTTGTGTTCAAGTGATCTGCTTAATTCAAACTTTGACATTTACATTTTACCTAGAAATTTTCTGTGAAGCAAACACAGATAAAAATTCTCAAGGACGATTTGCTAAACAACTTTAAAGTAAATGTTGCCTTTTTCTTTTCTCACTTGTCAAGATACATTCTCGTCTCTGCAAATATTCACATATGGAATGGGAAACAAATTAAATTCGTTTTAATGTCATTGTAAATACTAGCTATTTGTTTACTGTTTAATTTCAATGATTACGTAATTGTGTATTTTCAAGTCTGATACGTCTTTCAAATATCTTCATTAATGCAAATTTAGATGTTGTTTGTGTTCAATTGTATATATACACAAGGAGTTTGTATTTGAAATCATTGGAATCAACGATTCTAACATAAGCTAGGTGAATCTAGGTAAACACTTATTGTATGAAAGAAATGAACAGAAACATTGATTTTTATCCCTACCTGGCTCCACTGAACCTTGGGTCTGTTTCATTCCATCGCTTATACTTTGTCCTACAGTTATTTTTAATCGATTATCATCCATTTTCATTAATTATAGATATGGGCTTCCATGGGTGAATGGGTACACGTAACACTCATCTTCTAGATCATTATCATGAACCTCGGTCGCGTATCGTTGTATTCTTTAAAGTTTTTTTTATCACCGTTTTCCATCAGAACTTGTACATTCTCACTTAAGCAACATTTACTTGAAAATTGTTTAACATGTTAACGATCAAAAGGAAAAGTCTATTAAAGAACGGGAGGGAATGTAAATGTCAAAAAAGAGTTTCTACTTTTGCTATCCTCTAGAAAAGTCAATTCTTGAAGACTTCCCAAAAATGAATTCTAAATTCATTTCCCCTGTTTTCTTTCCTTTTTTATTAAGTTCTTAAAAGTATCACAATTATTATACTCTTTAATGACGGACTGTCTTGATATAAACTAAAATGTATACATCGAGAGTTCGATATCTACACGGGGTTTTCTAATTACTGTATCAACAGTAAACGAGGTTGTGCACTTTCTTAATTAAACAATTCTCTATTTAAAATCCACTTGAGATGTCCCTGTAAAATGATTTTTAAGAAGAAGGCTGAGAGCATTGAGGGCATATCCATTTTCTATTTTGATCGTTAATCTGTTTTACCATTAAGAGTTCAATAAAAGATCTCTATTCATGTTCTACAAGTAATATGCATGGATTTGAGATCACCATGTATAGGTGCAGATCTGAGATCACCATGTATAGATGGAGATCTGAGATCACCATGTATAGATGGAGATCTGAGATCACCATGTATAGGTGGAGATCTGAGATCACCATGTATAGATGGAGATCTGAGATCACCATGTATAGGTGGAGATCTGAGATCACCATGTATAGTTGGAGATCTGAGATCACCATGTATAGGTGGAGATCTGAGATCACCATGTATAGTTGGAGATCTGAGATCACCATGTATAGGTGGAGATCTGAGATCACCATGTATAGATGGAGAGCAATTGAAGAAATCTATTCTTACTGTTATCCTGCATCGTCCCAATTTCAAATCAATCATTACATGCATTTCACCATGTAAAGTATCTCTGTTTGAAGTACCGGTATATTACCTTATAAAGTGCACCTCTTTTATTCTTAAAGTGCCTCGCAAACTTTGAAATATTAAGAAATTATTATCGCTAAAACGAATTTACTTTAAATGATCTATCTATTACACATTAATGTTATTTCTCTGTTCAAGTAATTATAATGCTACATGTATATCTAATACATATTACACATCATTTATATTTCAAGTGAAATATGGAGATAACGAACAGTATTCAAGCTCAACGTCCATTAAAACAATACAAAACGGGAGCAGAGCAAACAAGGGCCTCCAAACACATCAGAAGTGGGATCAGGTACCATGGAGGAGTGAGCATCCCCTGCCGATCGGTCACACCCGCCGTGTGCTACTTTATCAATTGTCATGATCGGCAAATAACGGAAAAATCCGTCGACAATTCAGTGTTAAAATAACATGAGTTATACCCTAACAATTCAGTACGAAAAACGTTAGTCAGCATATGACTTAATGATAGATTGCATTTGCTGACAATGTCATTGTATCGACCATAGAACTTACGATGAAATGACAACTTTAAACGAGCTGTTGATATTCTTGTTCCATCAACTTGTTTGTGAATAACTTACCTCGTTTTAAAATGATTAAATGATTAGATTTGAAGGAGCAGTGTGGTAGATTATGACGTTTGGCTTCCTGCTAGCTTAGGATAGTGAGTCAACCCTTTAGATCGATAGATTCTGATGTTTGGCTTCCTAGTAGCTTAGGATAGTGACTTAACCCTTTAGGCCGATTGGTAGAGCACTGGACTCGCACACCTGGGGCTTGTTTTACAAAGGAAATCACGACTTCGATCATAAACTTCAGTTGATTGTAAAATTAGTGATTCTGTTTAAAATTGCTAGAATAAAAATAAATTTAAAAAATATTTTTAAATAGATTAAAATAATTTTCAAACTATTGTTTGTTAATTAAATTTTGATCTTAGACGTAAGTTCTTTTGTAAAAAGGTGCCCTGGATTCTGTTCTAAGCAGAGGAGGTCACATACCTCTGTTGCATATATATCTCTATTTCAAGGTTAAAATCTCATAGAGCATTAATTGTACTTATTTCTGAGTTTATTTCTTATATAGACATACTTACCTACATATCAATACATAAACAGATTATGCAGCAGGAATTGACTATATATGCCTTCACCATTCATAATATATATATAGTACAGTTCAAATTCTAAATTAACAGGTAAAATCATCTCTATTAAACAGTTTGTGTACTTTCTATATTATACAATCCTACTGTATTTATTTCTTAGTACAAGGAAGAAGGAACGCGAAAGGAAGGCAAGACGACAAGAACAACACATGACGAAACGGGGTCAAAGGTCAGTATTTCAGTTTTCTATCAGAAATGGTAAAAACGAAAATATTCAACATGTATTTTAGACACATCAATGCTATATATATATTACGGTATCGCAATACATTTGAGATTTTTAATGTGTATCTGCTTCAACATTAACGCAACATGTACGTATCTGTGTTGCCAGGTAATATAATATCTAATTAGCTAGCTTATCTTTTGTCAGCAAACGAAAAACAAATATCCTGTATCGTACAAATATTGCATTAAAGTTTAATAATGAATGAAGACTCGGGAAAGAGAAACGGATTTAATTGAATTATCGATTGAAGAGATCAGCAATAATAAATGTTGAGGTTTCAAGTTTATTTTCATTTCATTTATAATAAACAAGAGTGCCATTTTAATTTTAGGGTCTACAGTAAATGAAATGTTCGAATTCATGGAGACTTTAATATTTTCAATTCTTGTACAGCACCTTTTTTTTTTGTCAGAGCCTTGAGTGTATCTGCTTGAAAATTCTCCTTCGATAAGACAGTATAAAACATATAAGAAAAGAAATTTAAAATAGAAATCTTGTGGGCTTTCTACTAGCATTGAAAAGAGAACCAAATGAACACTTTCTCATGTAGAAAGACCTTACATAGGGAGAAGAGCTAGCTTCACCATTGCTATCTTAAAACAGGAACTTTTTAATCTTTCAAGACTTACAAATTCTTTTTGAATTCATTTAATACATGTACATGTATCTGTAATTTCATCTTTAAAGTTGAATAAAAATTCGATTATTAGAACATTTGGGGAGATGTTGATGGTATATGTGTTATCTAAGTATTTCTTCATTTGACTCGTTTTCTTGCATATAAAACGGTAGATATAATCTACATATCGTTTCTTTTTTTCTAGACAAGTTGACGAAAAAGATGATCCTTTGGTGATTCTTAAAGAAGACATTGAGAAGATCAGACTCTCTTTGTCAGATTCTTCCTTTACTCACAGGTAAAGCATACATCTGTTTAACTATTATCTCTATACCCATGATGAGGGTAAAACAAATTACACTCAGGTAATTCTCTGCATTACTATTCAGAGGTAGAAATCATACATGTATATTACTATTCATAGATACTTTTTCTATATAGCAATATCAACTGTTCATCAAAAGTAAAATAATCTACATTGCAACACACAAGAACTGGTTCACAATTTCAAAACATAAAAACTCATAGTCTACATTGGATTACAACAAGCAGTTATTTAAACAGTATACAATTATGGACTCTTTCGGTGGTGAATATGGTTTGTTATTCACAAGAAAAATATCAATATTGACCACCGAAAGAGTCCATAATTGTTTTATAATAGCGAGCGCAGCGAGCAGCGCGAAGCGCTGCTCGCGAAGCGAGATCAATAGTTTAACGTGTAAGAACAGAGGAAATTCGGAATGAAATCTGTACATACGTCAGGCAAATTTTCTTGGGCAACATTCCCAGAATTCCTTTGCTACCAGGGTTCCATGCGAAATTATTACAAAACGTACAAAAGACCAAGGATAATTGTTCCTTACCAAGAGATACGTTTACTTTTATTTCTTTGCAGAGAGCTTAAGAGAAACAAAAAATAGTTGCATCTACTCTATAACGTATTTCATTTAATTTTTTCACAAGAACTGTTGAACCAGACGTTCGGCTATCTCCGTAAATTCCGACGTCATCTGACGTCACAGTCTAGACTGTGTCTCGTGCGGTTTGGAGCTAACGTTACAAGTGTAAGCTGTGTATATTATAGGTTTTTGATGGTACAACTGCGCTCGCCCTAACGGTCACACCGTAAAACATATTATAGTCCGGATTTGAATAAATATAAATAAGACATTGAAGGCTGCATATGACGACACCATTTTCATTTACGAACTTCTGTCGTAGAAAAAATAAAAAAAAAATTCCAGATGACAAGTTGTAACTTCCGTGTTTTCCTTTCGCTATGTGTAAGACATCAAAATATTTAGAAAATAATCCTGCGATAAGTTGTGTAACATTTTTCCTGCCCAGATACACAGCTTGCTCCGGCCGTTGCAACCGTTTTACAACGTTGTTTGAGGTGTTCATTAGAGAATTTATTAATCAATATAATCTTTTTTTGGGAAACAGAATAAAATCGGAAAGCAACTATAACTTACAGAGTATTTTTAATCTTTCTTTCATTATTCTTTCATATCTTTCATTCAGACAAAGATGGCGACAGACAGAAGATGTTGGGCTGTCAAGCTCTATCCGTGTTTGCTCAAAACTTAAAGGAAAACTATCCCATATGTCCAGGTAAGTTCTTTCAGTGTAGGCTCTATTAAGCTTCCTTTTATGTCAATGTGACCTCTCTCTCTCTCTCAAACTAAAGCATTAAATGTTTCATATATCGAGGTGAGCTCTCTATCTCTTCGTTTGAGAAAAAGGAAAAAAGAAGCAATCACTAATTGTCACATTTGCTTTTTTTTTTCTTCAAAAGTAAACGATATAAATTCCAAATCATTGTAACAAACCATAGAAAAGTTTGAAAACAATATCTACCTTATCTATGAAATTTTATCTGTTCGGTCTCTTGTAGTATTGATTCAGCAGAAGCGGACAAACTGGCTGCAGTATACGATGAATTCTGTAAAACAATTAACGTCATGGCGGAGGACCACAGGGAATACAATTCACATATATATGAAGAGGAGGAAATGACCAAAAAGTACATTATTATCATCATCAAAGAGGAAATGAATATATTATCATATAAAGCAATCAGGAAATGAAAACATCATCAAATAAAACACATAGAGAATGCACACAATAAATTCATTCTTTACAAAAATCATCATTTTGATTTATTGATAGATATCTTGTGAAATTGTAAATTAAGGACACGTAATTAATACTTCTTTATATATAAGCGGGGTAAACTTACAATGCACTTTCTAAGTCTTGTTTTCTTTTATCATATGTAGATACTACAACAAGACCTGTCTTGATATCCTTGAACTTTGGACAAGTTGTTCAACGGCCACAGTAGAGTTAATGGTCCCGTTGATTCAACAGTAAGTGATGGCAGGAAATCGGTTGTGAATTGTGATTGCAGTATTTGTCATATAAAAAGTACATTTAACATGTTTCAATAACTCTTGGAATAAGCGTTAGACAATGGAAGACTCTTTTTTTAGATACTGGGAAAATCAGAGCGAATTTGAGAACCTTGCAAAGAAAATTGCTGATACATGTTGCTCCTGTGTAAAGTTTACCACAGTGGCGGTGAATCTTAACAAACACCCTATCCCAGACGAGTAAGAATAAGTAGTTTAGAACTCAATTAAATCAACCGAACTCTGACTTTCATACTTCAGTGCACTAAGAAATATATGGTTCATTGCATTTTCCTATACTTATTATCGATGATCAAAATAAATAAAAGTTTTACAAATATTATTATATTGAGAATTCTTTGACATATACACTCTAGTTGTGGGAGTAAGGTTATCCAGACAGCGACAGAATCTCTCAACCACACAGCAGACACACTAAGTAAACTGATAGAGGCCATGATTAACACGTAAGTCCATTTGTGAATTGTGTAATTTTCATACAGTGTTTATAGTTTGACATTGATCAGCATAAAATCCTTGAAGAATAATTTAAAAAAGAATACAGTATAATGATAAAAATCAGTAGATGATTGCATAATTAATGTTTTCATTTTATCTCCTTGTAAATTATGCACAATTGTCAAAAAAAATAAAAAATTAAAAAACCCAGTTCTTGCACCGTTTTGGATTTTTTTTTCCCTGAACAGATCCATTAAAGTAGCTGAAGACGCAGCATTAGATATGGCGATGTGGCTTCTATTCAGCATTCATCATGTCGCCCAGAATGTATTGAAACAACAAAACAAACAAGAAGAGTATGGCATTATTTTCCTCGGATGGTGACAATAATTAGGTTTACATACAGGCTCGAAAAATACTGTTAATTTAGTTCTCGTAAGAAATCTTTGTCATAGGATCTAAACAAAAGAAACAATAATATTTTTAAACCACATCATCTTTGGGTATTAATTCCTATGCTTTACTAGGAATTCTAGGGAATTGTGTACGATGCATTTTGCAGAGATATATAAGGAAACATCTCAGATAATTCTTTTCAATGTTTTATTTACTTACTTTTTTGTAGCAACAATGAGAAAGAAGAGGGAAAAGAGCCAGAAAAGCAAACCGAGGAACAAGTACAAGATAAAGAATCTACTGAAATAACAGCAAGTTTGAATAACCTACTGACAAAGCTAGAAAACTTACAGATGGAACTGAACAATCAGTGAGTTGCAATCATAAACAAAAAACATTTACCTATCTTTAAACCAGAAAATTTCAGACAAAAACAATTATATATAGTTTGTTTTTGCCAAACGTATAAAAGTATGTACAGATTGTTTTCTTTAAACTCTTGCTGGCATCATGGACAGGTACAAGTAACTTCCGTCATGTATAGTTTAAGAATCTCGTGACTGATAGGCAATAGCAATTTATTATAAATTCAAACTATTCATGTCAAATTACTTAACATTTTTCATTATAAGGTACGTGGAGAAAAATGAAACAAATGGTGAGGATGGAGAAAAGGACAACAGGCAAGAATTTGTTTTATTTTACTTCTCTATTTATTCTACTCTGCCTTTGTTAATTCATTGTATGTTGCATGATTTTATTGTTTTTGCATGATTTCATCAACAGCTGCAAGAATGATCAACAAGCTATCGACAAACTTGCAAACGTATACCAAAGTGTTGTGGACAAGATTTTTGAAAAGGGGAAGTAAGTGAGCAATTTTTTTTTTAAATTTTAGATACTATAAAAGAAAGAACATTTTCAAAGGTTTGATATAGGAACGTACATGTTAAAGATTCAAAATATGATTTGCTATTTCTAGAGTAACGGTTTGTATTGAAGATCCTAGCGGAAGTGACGCAACAATTTACTATAAACCAGATGTATACACTGAAGTGGCAAACTGTTCACTTGGGTCTTGTCCAATGAAAGACCGAGACACGTGGTTAGATGAAATACCTTTGACCTCTGACCAAGTTCTCGTTTCTGACATCTATGTCGTCAGGAATGGACCTTTACATACGTCATCAGAAGTGGAAATTGATTTTACATACGTCCCTATGTCTAGTACAAAGAACAAAAGCATCAAGGTTATCGCAAAACAAGATGGCGCCTGGACAGAAATAGAAACAGCAAATGAGGTAATTAGAAATAATTGAAGCCCGAGAAATTGACATTGCTGCATTATACCACACTGCTTTCTAAAAGCCTAAAAGTCCATCGTTCCTCTGTATATTCAATCATATAAACTTTGCTTTAAAACAAGTGATTTTGCAAAAGAAATCTATAATTGATGATTAAAATGCACACAATATAAACATACATGTAACTTGCACGGAAAAATGTTACAGAAAATGGTCTCGACAATTTTATAAAGGAACAATAGTCATTTATCCCAGTAAGAGTTACTTCTCTTATCAGAGGGTCATTGAATCTTAATAAATTTTAATTGTAGGAGATGAGTGATAGCGACGCTCATCTTTCCTTTAAAACAAAGAACTTGGAGGCCTTCACGGCTTACGTTGAAATCCTCTCTGAAAGTTCAGAGGTGTCTCCGGAGGGAACGACATTTACAAGCGAGGCCAATCCGGATGTCAAGGTCACTTTCTCTGAAGGACTAGTGACCGAAACTAAGCAAGCAAAAATAAAGGTAATTCAACAAATCTATTGTTTGATGGCTTATTTTCACGTTTCATTGACTTCATAAAATCTAGAATATAAGGTGACTTGGGGTATGAAATAATATTAAATGAATTTGATGCATATCTTTAAAAACAATGCGGCTACATAAACTGTCTGCCAATAAAATTCTATCATGTTTTATTCAAGATTATTCCTTACGACTTGAGGGAGGTGGCTGCTTTGAAGGAACAATGTCCTGATTCCATTAGAGGTATTGTGACGGCTTCTGATGCTGTAGAGATTAGAATGGATGGAGAATGTGACACCACAAAGTCTTTTACAGTCCAAGTATCCATGGATGATGAGGAGGATCCAGATACACAGCTGGTCGTCATCAGGTGTGGATTTAATCATATGACTGGATTAACTACTAGTATAGACAAGCAGAAAAAAATATAATAAATTGTATAGATTAATTGAATTCTTATTTCATGCAGGTTTAATGAAGGCAAGGTTCAAGTACTGGATAAGTCCCAATGTCGGCTTAAAAAAGACAGAAATCTCTATCTTGTGGAAACAAAAGGCATCTGGGGGTATGCAAAAATTTCTTGAATAGATTACATTTAAAACTTTAATTTTTATCTTTCATACGAATATATTTAGTTTACATTTCACAACCTTTTTATAGGATTGTTGAATAATAATTCAGTCTTTTCAAGATTAGAAATAATGTCTTTCAGAATAGCCGTTGCAAGAATAAGAAAAATATTCCTAAATATGAGGGACACAGTTAAAAAGGAATTCCAGCTGATCTTTGGGTTGGTCCAACTGTGCAATATCTGTACTTTCCTTGACGACTCACAAAGGAATATGGAAGAGGGGTCGTTTTTTGTCTGGATCGAATGTATCGATAAAAATTTAATCCGGGAGGATGTAGAAAACAAAGAAAAAGCAGGGTTAATCGAGGTGAAACAAAGCCGTTCAAAGGACATTACGCTCAGACAAAAGCAGACGATCATTCTAAAAATAGATGGACAAATCAAGCTTCGCTTAGCAGACCCACCAGATTCGTTTAAGATCACTTATTTGATTGGTGCAGACAATCATGTGAATATACCAATGGAAGTACACAGGGATCAAGAAAAAATCCCGTATGCTTCATTTGCATTTCACGAAGAGGACAGTGCAAATCCATTCCACACTGTGAATATTCCAGTCCGGGACTTATCTGAACTACCCACAGGTTTGTCTTTATCCTCGCTTTAAATCTGGTTTATTTCTTTAGTATGTATAACATGTACACACGGCGGGTGTGATCGGTCGGCAGGGGATGCTCACTCCTCCATGACACCTGATCCCCCCTCTAAATTTTGAGGTCCCTGTTTGCTCTGCTCCAAATTTGTATCGTTTCATGGGACTTTCGAGATGGAATACTTTTCGTTATCTTCATATTTCATCCTTGTGATAAGACCTTCCAGGGGATGCTCACTCCTCCATGGCACCCGAACCCACCTCTAAATTTTGGGGTCCGTGTTTGCTCTGCTCCAAATTTGTATCGTTTCATTGGACTTTCGAGATTGAATACTGTCGTTATCTTCATATTTCATGTATAAGTGAATTTTAATATGAACGATTAATGCCACCTATATTTAGATGTATTTTTATTTTCAGATGAAGTAACAGCAAAGAATTTTAATAAAAACAACGAAAGTAACAATTTAAGAGAGCAAATGAAGCAAAAGGAGGAAGGTTTGTCCCCTTTTATTTAATATAGTATATTGAATAACTTTACAGTAATTACGATAAGGTTTAGCAGACTCAATCCTCGAATAATGAGTAAAAGTCAACCCCTCTAAATCTTCCAAACTAATGTTGTATTTATTAAATATTTTGATCTTATCAATTATATATATATATTTTTTTCAGCTGCAAAGAAAATTCTCTCCCATGACAGTATCATGAACCTGTCACGTGTTTTGTCTGAAAGGGATGGGCGCATGCTCGGTGAGCAGCTGGGCGTGGACTCTGCTTGGATAGCTCGCGCCAAGGAGGATTGTGACGGGAACATTCTCCGAACAAATTTCCGAGTGCTTTGTGAATGGAGGGGGAAAGCAGCAAGAGCTGCAATGGTTGATTTTTTAATATCGTCGCTAAAAACCATTGGAAGAAATGATTTGTCGACCATAGTAACTAATGTCAACAAAAGTAGGCGTGGCTTGTTGAATGAGGATTTTAATTGATTCTGCATCAGTGATACACAAGAAGTATTTTCTGAATTCTGTGATATGTTTTTTTTTCTTCTACATAATATATGTTTATAAATAACTTCCAGTTATTTGCTTTGCTTGGGAAGACATTTGGAGCTTTATTGAGGAATTATTTGACTTCAGCACATACGATTTTGTAGCAACAGGAATTATTGTGCAACTATTGGGCGCTTGCATGTTATGATTGAATATAAAAATAAAAATATAACTAGACCTTTTTTGTCGTTCAACAAAAACGGAGGGCTTTTCGACGCCTTAAATCTCAAGGACCTTAAAGAGCGATAACTCTAACAAAATGAAAAACATAAAAAAAAAATCAGACCGGATCAAGTTTTCAGAAACTTATAAAAATTTAAACCTAAAGAGTATGTAATTCTCACTAGACCTCTGCAAAGGGGGGTAACTCTTACACTGTCATTTTAACAATTACTAAAAGTTACTAATTTCAGGTCTCTAAAAGATCTATAAGGGGTCAAAAAGTGACCCCACAGACCATAAGTTTTAAACTGTACCCTTTATGTTGAAATCGGAATCGAAAACTGTTCAAAAATTCATTGAGAAATAAAAAAGTTACAGGGGAAAATCAGTTTTCAATGTTAGCCCCTTGAAATCCCTTGTTTTTCAGAATTACATTTTCAGACCCTTATTGGGTTAAACCATTTTCAAAGTCATTATATCACTCACTTTTCACAAGAATATCTTATTTAGTTTATGAGATATTGTGACATGTGCATTTTTCCATTTAACATGGGAACTCCCATAGACAAATTCAGAGATTCATAAAACTGGAAGTACTTGACATATGCTTACGAAACTTGAAACCTAAAGAGTGTGTAAGCCCACCAACAGACTTGCAAAAGGAGATAACTCTTACTTCATCATATTTGAAATACATAAAAATATCATTATTTCAGTCCTCTGTAACTCCTATAAGGGGTCAAAAAGTGACCACTCGGACCATAATTTTTAGATTGTACTCTTTAAGTTGAACCCAGAAAAGAAAACTGTTCAAAAATTCATTAAGAATTAAAAAAGTTATGGGCAAAGGTCAGTTTTCAACTTTGGACCCTACTAATCCCTTTCTTTCCAGAAATTCATTTTCAAACCCTAATGGGGTTGACACAATATCACAGTCATTATATCACTAAATTTTCACAGGAAAATCTTGATTACTTTAAGAGATATCCTGAAATATGCAATTTTCCATTTAACATGAGAACTCCCATAGACATATTTAGAGATTCATAAAACCGGAAGTACTTGTCATATGCATACCAAACTTGAAACCTAGAGAGTATGTAAACCTGTTAACTGATATTGAAAGGGAGATAACTCTTACTCCATTATTTTTGAAATAAATAAAAATTACGTTATTTCAGTCTTCTGTAACTCCTATAAGGGGTCAAAAAGTGACCCAACGGACCATAATTTTTAGATTGTACTCTTTAAGCTAAACCCAGAATAGAAAACTGTTCAAAAATTCATTCAAAAATAAAAAAGTTATGGACAAAGGTCAGTTTTCAATGTTGGATCCTAGAAATCCCTTTTTTTCCAGAAATTCTTTTTAAAACCCTAATGGATTCGAAACAATGTCACATTCATTCTACCACTCAATTCTCAGAAGAATATCTTGATTATTTTAAGAGATATTGTGAAATGTGCAATTTTCAATTTAACATGAGAACTCCCATAGACAAATTTAGAGATTCATAAAACCGGAAGTACTTGTCATATGCATACCAAACTTGAAACCTAAAGAGTATGTAAGCCTGCCAATAGATGTGCAAAGGGAGATAACTCTTACTCCATTATTTTTGAAATAAATAAAAATTACATTATTTCAGTCTTCTGTAACTCCTATAAGGGTTCAGAAAGTGACCCCACGGACCATAATTTTTAAATTGTACTCTTTATGCCTAATTCAAAACCGAAATGAGTTTGAAGATTTGTTAAAAAATAAAAAAGTTGCAGGGAAAAAAGTGGTTTTTGTTTTGGCCCCTAAAAATCCCTATTTTTTTGAAATTTTCTTCTCATCACCTAATCACTTGAAGACAATGTTAAAAGAAGTGTTCTTCTCAAATATTACAAGAATTGCTTGCTTCCTTTCTGAAATAATGGAACATGCGTGATTCCAATTTAACATAGAAACTTCCATAGACATATTTAGGAGACTAATAAAACCGGAAGTACTTTTCAGATTCTTACTAAGATGGAATCCTAGAGAGTATGTAGGGCATTTAACAGTTGTACAAAGGGAGGTAACTCTTACTTGATTATTTCTGAAATTGCTAATTTTTACTATTTTTCAATTCTCTAAAACTCCTATAAGGGGTCAGAAAGTGACCCCACGGACCATAATTTTTAAATTGCACTCATCATGCTAAATTCAAAACCGAAATCAGTTTGAAGATTGGTTAACAAATGAAAAAGTTACATGGAAAAAAGTGTTTTTGTACTGGCCCCTAAAAATCCCTAATTTTTTGAAATTGTCTTTTCATCACCTAATCAACTAAAGACAATTGCAAAAGTAAATATTTCACTTAAATATTACAAGAATTGCTTGCTTCCTTTTTGAGATAATGGAACATGCGTGATTCCAATTTAACATAGAAACTTCCATAGACATATTTAGGAGACTAATAAAACCGGAAGTACTTTTCAGATTCTTACTAAGATGGAATCCTAGAGAGTATGTAGGGCATTTAACAGTTGTACAAAGGGAGATAACTCTTACTTGATTATTTCTGAAATTGCTATTTTTTACTATTTTTCAATTCTCTAAAACTCCTATAAGGGGTCAGAAAATGACCCCACGGACCATAATTTTTAAATTGCACTCATCATGCTAAATTCAAAACCGAAATCAGTTTGAAGATTGGTTAACAAATGAAAAAGTTACATGGAAAAAAGTGTTTTTGTACTGGCCCCTAAAAATCCCTAATTTTTTGAAATTGTCTTTTCATCACCTAATCAACTAAAGACAATTGTAAAAGTAAATATTTCACTTAAATATTACAAGAATTGCTTGCTTCCTTTTTGAGATAATGGAACATGCGTGATTCCAATTTAACATAGAAACTTCCATAGACATTTTTAGGAGACTAATAAAACCGGAAGTACTTTTCAGATTCTTATTAAAATGGAATCCTTAAGAGTATGTAGGGCATTTAACAGTTGTACAAAGGGAGATAACTCTTACTTGATTATTTCTGAAATTGCTAATTTTTACTATTTTTCAATTCTCTAAAACTCCTATAAGGGGTCAGAAAGTGACCCCACGGACCATAATTTTTAAATTGCACTCATCATGCTAAATTCAAAACCGAAATCAGTTTGAAGATTGGTTAACAAATGAAAAAGTTACATGGAAAAAAGTGTTTTTTGTACTGGCCCCTAAAAATCCCTAATTTTTTGAAATTGTCTTTTCATCACCTAATCAACTAAAGACAATGTAAAAATAAATATTTCACTTAAATATTACAAGAATTGCTTGCTTCATTTTTGAGATAATGGAACATGCGTGATTCCAATTTAACATAGAAACTTCCATAGACATTTTTAGGAGACTAATAAAACCGGAAGTACTTTTCAGATTCTTACTAAAATGGAATCCTAAAGAGTATGTAGGGCATTTAACAGTTGTACAAAGGGAGATAACTCTTACTTGATTATTTCTGAAATTGCTAATTTTTACTATTTTTCAATTCTCTAAAACTCCTATAAGGGGTCAGAAAGTGACCCCACGGACCATAATTTTTAAATTGCACTCATCATGCTAAATTCAAAACCGAAATCAGTTTGAAGATTGGTTAACAAATGAAAAAGTTACATGGAAAAAAGTGTTTTTTGTACTGGCCCCTAAAAATCCCTAATTTTTTGAAATTGTCTTTTCATCACCTAATCAACTAAAGACAATGTAAAAATAAATATTTCACTTAAATATTACAAGAATTGCTTGCTTCCTTTTTGAGATAATGGAACATGCGTGATTTCAATTTAACATAGAAACTTCCATAGACAATGTTTGGAGACTCATAAAACCGGAAGTTACGCTTGGATTGACTTGAAACTTACAGCACATGTTTTATTATTCAATTGTAACAATTTGTAGTCTTCAAAATATTTTTCCTACATAGTTTTTTCAATTTTTAAATTTCCATCCCCCCTTTTCCTAACTTTGGAGTCTTATAACACAAAAATGTGTTAAAGGTACAATATCGCTGTCGCTAACTTTTTTGTAGAATTTACTTTGAAGAATCTATTCCTAAAATTTGAATGAATTTCCATGAAAAATAAGATTTTTTTAAGCTCCTAAAGAAATCTTAGTTTTCTACTTGTAAATACCGGAAGTGACGTTTCCGGAAGTACAAAACCTTACATACGGGAGACATTTAGATATGCTATCTGACGGTTTTATCATAAAATACATATAACCAAAGGTTTTCTTTAAATCCGAAACGTAAAAGTGTTAGGTATAATAATAATAATAATAATAATAATAATAACTAGACCTTTTTTGTCGTTCAACAAAAACGGAGGGCTTTTCGACGCTTTAAATCTCAAGGCCCTTAAAGAGGGATAACTCTAACAAAATGAAAAACAGAAAATAATGATCAGACCGGATCGAGTTTTAAGAAGCTGATCAAAATTAAAACCTAACGATTATGTAATTCTCAAAGAGCTCTGCAAAGGGGGATAACTCGTACATTGTTATTTCTGAAATTACTAAAAGTTACTTAATTTCAGGTCTCTAAAAGACCTATAAGGGGTTAAAAAGTGACCCACGGACCACAATTTTTAAATTGTACCCTTTATGCTGAACTCAGAATCAAAAACTGTTCAAAAATTCATTGAGAAATGAAAAAGTTACAAGGGAAAAACTGTTTTCAATATTAGCCCCTTGAAATCCCTTATGTTATGGAATTTCATTTTCAAACCATAATGGGGTTGAAAAAATATCAACGTCATTATATCCCTCAATTTTCAGAGGAATATCTTATTTAGTTTAGGAGATATCGTGACATGTGCATTTTTCCACTTAACATGGGAACTCCCATAGACAAATTCAGAGATTCATAAAACCGGAAGTACTTATCAGATGCATACCAAACTTGAAACCTAAAGAGTATGTAAGCATGCCAACAGATGTGCAAAGGGAGATAACTCTTA